GGCCACCTCTGGCCCCTCTCGGACCCCCGTCCACAGGCTTTTATCTGCCTGGCCAAGGACGGTCTCCACAGAGCGCAGCTGATGTGGCTGCTGTTTTGCCAGGGCGGCTGGAGGTGAGGTGTCTCTGGTTGATGTGTCCTCTGGTGATCTTCAGCAGACGTGATGGCCTTCAAGGTCGGCATAAATTAGAGCTGCCAGGTCTGGAGGTGGGAAACTCATGAGTGGTTTATAAAACAAAAAAAGAGGAGGGGAAGGGGGTGGGGAATGGCCCTTCCTCCTATCCTAGGGACTGGGAAGCTCCATCAAAGCATGGAGCTGGCTTAATACACTGCTTGTTCCTTCAGTTTCCTCTACCCAAACACTTCATATATGGTTTCCTCTTTAATTCCCTGCCAGTGTACCCGTAGCACAGCATGTCGATTTCCTTGTCCCTGATGGTCACCAGCACTCTCCTGTCTGTCCCTAAACAGCTGGGAGGAGGCTACTACAACAAGCTCCTACAGCGACGTGTTGCTTGCAGGAGGGAATTTCTGCCCGGAGCCACCGAGGGCATTAAATTCTTCTCCAGTTGAGTTCCCTGGCAAGGCCAGAGCCTGGCGACAGCGGCTGCAGGTAACGAATCCATGGGGTCACCTCCACGCCACCTGCACTGGAGAGGATGGGTGCTTCTACACCCTGTCCCCTACACTACTTGGGGAGCTGCAGGCATCCTGAGAGAAACCACAGTGCATTTCCCCAGTGGGTGGGGGAAATGAAATGAATTCACTCTCCAGGCAAGGAACCCCTCTTCTCGTGTTGGGGTGCTGCTCCCACTCTGACAGCAGGCTGGTAAGAGCTGCTGGTGGGATGGGATGCAAGGATTTGTGGCACAGGTTCCTCCGGGGCTGGGTGTCCATCCTGGCTTGCTCCACTTTTGAGAGAAGGGCCCTGGTGTGGCTAGGGGTAGCTGAACCCCTTGTTAAAGTGACAGTTGCGACCCTCCCAATTCTCTCTGTGGGAGACAATAGTTTAAATGCATGAATTATTAAAGTCTGCACCAAGAGACAGTTGAACGTAATTACTAAGAAACGTGTTTGTATCTCCTGCTAGTGTAATTTCTCCCCCCTGCTTTCTGGGAAGCCTGAATTCCTTCGCTGCCAGTAATTCCTGTATTTTTCTCCTCAGTCTCAAGCCACATTATGGAAGCAATTGATAACTAGTTAGAGCTGCGTTTGGCTTCGAATCAGGAAAATCTGCTGGAAACCATTCCAGTTCAGTAGGTACAGGATTTCATGTGTGGAATTTAAATTAGTGGCCTCTGTTGGTATCATCCTGTCCTGCCTTCCTGCCCACATCTGGGACGTGGGACATGCTGCTTCTGCTTGCCCTGGTGGGTGGACCAGGTGATGCTGCACGTGTGTGTGTGTGCCTCTGGCCCTGCTGCCACTGCTGCTGTTGGGTACAGGAAGGGGAGCAAAACATATAGCCTGTGGCAGGGAGAGCAGGGAGGGAGGGGAGAGTCCCCGGCAGCAGCTGGAGCTAAATGGGGGCATTTCTCCCCCCATTTGAGTGCCCTGTGCTGGAAGCTCTCGTGCTCCTTCTGAGGCTACAAGACCCGAGCAATGTCCATGCCCGGGGAGCTCAGGCTGGAGCCTGCTGGTCTCTGTGACCATCCCCTGGTGTATTTGTTCAGCTGAGGAGGTGCCCAGCTCCATCCCACCCTGCAGGGAGAGGGATGCCCACGTCCAAAAGGCCAAACAAGTCCATAGAGGACATTACTTGTGGGGTCCTGCACAGCCCGTGCCTGCCATCTCCTCGCCAGCCGGCCACTGGACAACAAGGAGCCTCAGCAAAAGCCGAGTGAGGTGGAGTTTTCCAGCCCTTGTTTAATAAAGCATCTGTTTTCTGAGGGGGATGAGATCAGGGATGCGTGGGGGCAGGGAGGAGGGTTTGACATAAATAAATAATTGTATCAAGCCTATCCTCAGTTGACGCAAGATGAGTCACTCCTCGTAAAGGCAAGAGCGTAAGATCGAAGAGGAAGCAGATATTAAAAGCTCGGGGACGGGTCCTCAGCTGAGCCGGGTGGAAGCTGCAGGTGCCTGGTGCCCTCTCTGGATTTGGCCCGTTAACTTTTGAGTCATGTTTTGGGTCAAGCTCCTGCCCTCCTTTTTGTTTTTGCCCTGGTTACGCGTTTCTTTGTCTGAAGACGGGTTTAAATTTTAACAAAGACTTTTTTTCCCCCCCTTCCCCTCCTAGTTGCTTCTTTAAGCCGGCTTCAACCAGAAGGAAAAGGAGAACTCAAAGCCTCTGTGCAGTCCAGGGCAGGCTTTGTCACCAAGGAGAATGACCACCATGGGGCTGTGTCCCCTGTGCCCTGGGTGGGGACTCCTCACCCACTCCCTGCCTCATGGGACCCGGATGACTTCTAAAGGAGCAGCTTTCCTCTTCACGAGTCACCCGGGCCAGGATTAACATCTGCTAAACTCAGGATTAAAGAGTCTGGCAGGTAAAGGGAGCATGAAATCTTGACAGCTTCATTTGCTCCAGCCCGGGAGGTCTGAGTCTCCTGGCTGGCGAGGCTTTAAGCAGTTAATTAAGTTGCTGCCTTCGGTGTATGGGATGAATCCCCGGACGCGAGTGGTTGGGCATAATTTAGTTGTTTGCACAGGGTTTGTTAGAGCTGGAGCTCTGGAGCTCCAAAGCTCCGACTCTCTTCCCTCTGGGAGCAAAGGGGACGGTTCTGCCCCGGGGCCGGTCTGCTCTCAGGCACAGCGGCTCGCTGCAGGGGTGGAAGTGGCCCATCAGCTGTGCCACCAGTGGCCACCTCGTGGGCCAGCTGCCTGTGATGGGGGCCGGGACTGGGGAAAGGCAGGACTTTTCTCAGCAAAGGTGCTCAAGTCTGGGCTTGCTGGTGCTGTGCAAAATGGTGACTGACCAAGAAGGGTGCTGTCTGAGGAAGGTGTCTGTCCCTTCCCTGCGGGTCCCGCTGGGCTGGCGGGGGGGCTGTGTGTCAGCGGGGCCTGATTCTATTTTCTTTCTACCTACTGAAGCAACAGCCAAGCCCTCCGTGCGCAGCTGCAGCTTCTTGCTGCTAAGATTGTTTGTTCCATCAGCTGAAAAGCCAGCGGCCTCAGCAGTGACCTCTCCTTCCTCCCAGCGCACCCGTCCATCGCTGACTTTGACCAGGGCACCTTTGCTCCCCAGGGTGGCCCTTTAGACAATTTTGCAACAGGCTCCTCTTCTCCCCCCCAAAACCGAGGTGAGGGAAGGGAGCGGAGCCGCGGGGCAGCGGGGATAGGCCTCTCGCTGCCCTTCAGCATCAGCGTGGGATGGGGGGACCGGGGTCCTGCGCTGCCTGCGGCTGAAGAGGAAAAGCTGTGCAGCCTTGCACCACCCTGCCAGTCTGGAACTGGGGCTGAGGGCTGGACGCGGGGCTGACACCGTTAGCAGCGCTACACCAGGCTCAGAAAAGCATCCTTTCCTGAAGAGCTGGCAGCGTGTGGCCAGAACAGGACAGGGCTCTCTCGAAGACCACTGTATTCTCTGGCAGGACCAGCAAGCACAGTTTGCACCAGCCAAATGCAAGTGTTGCACCTCAAGCCAGGAAGGCTTTGTCCCCAGCAGAGGGTGGAAGCGCAGAGAGCTCCTGCAGGGGCACAGCACGGCAGCAGAGTGTCCCCGAGTCACCATCACCATTTCCCTCGCTGCCCACAGCTGGGTTGGCAGCTGGGGATGGAAAGGTCCCTCGTGGTCCCAGTGGCAACTGTGAACGCCCTTCTCCAGCTGTGGCAGCTCCTCTCTCTTGTCTGCAGCCAGGATGACTTGGGCTGTCACCATCCCATCTTGATCTGGCCAAGTGTCTACTTGACAAGTCTTCAGCAAAGCCAAAGCACTCATCTGTTCAAGTTCCTTACAAAGCTGTTTATTATCACAGGGGACAAGTGGAAAAAACATACCACCGCACACAGAGAAAGTCTTAGCAGATTACAAACAAACCTTAAAGAAGTTACAGTTGCCTCTGAATTACAGTAAACAAGGCTCTTGCTGCAAGCATGTGTCGCTCTGATGCGCTCCACCAACAGTCCAGTAAGATTATGAAGAAAGAACTGCAGCCTGGAACACTTTCAATGAACAAGGGAACTCCGGCTGCTCCCAGAGCAGCAACCCCTCTCCCCAGCACCAGATTCCCGAAGCTATGATGTCCTGGGTGAAGCAAACCCTCTGCCCTGCATGAGTTGGGAGCAGGATGCTGTGAAACCCCTCAGTTTTGTCAAAGCCCAAGCCAAACGAGCGCTCGCAGCCCAAAATCACCTCTGGAATGAGTGGCTGTGAGTGGCACGGTCACTGGCACCCTCATCAGTGCAAAAACTCTGCCCAAGGTGAAGCTGGGCATGATCCTGCCACCACTTACTCTGGGACCATGTTTAGCTGCTGGAGCCCCGCAGACGCTCCTATATCTTCTATTTTGAACTATATTTTCTACTTGGTAAATGAGCAAATAATTCAGTGATTAGAGGCAAACTGGGAGCACACTTCCCTCCAGCCCAGGCAGATGACACCTCTGGTGAAGGCCCTTCCTGCCCCAGCATCTCCTCCCCCTGGTGAGGGCAGGCTGGCAAAAGAGGAACAACATTTTGACAAGGTGCGTGGGTGTGATTTGTTAAAGTGGCTGAGAAGTCTTTAAAGGCCTTGCTTTGGCAGATGTTTTTACAATTGAAATCCTGCTCATTTGTAACCGCGTGCCCTTTTGCTTCAGTAAACAAACGGCTCAGGTGCAGAAATCATTCAAGCTACCAGACTTTCCTCTGGCACGGTCTAAAAGCCTCATCTCCCTCCCTGTGAAAAATCAGTGCTGATACCATGGACAGGGAGGAAAAGCCCCTGAAAAATAATGAACATTAAGTTGCTTTTCCTCTTTTTTTTTTTTTTTTTTTTTTTTTTTTTTTTCTCTGGGTTGCAGTGAAAAAAAAAAAAAAAAAAAAAAAAAAAAAAGTTCTAGGAAAAATATTATTAAGTTTTTTTTTTTTTTTTTTTTTTTTTTTTTTTTTTTTTTTTTTAACTGCGGGTTACGTGAAAAGCTTTACGAGTGTTTTAAAATGTGTATAGGGAGCCGAGGGGAGCAGACAGAGTTGGGGACTGGGAAAGGTCTGCTACCACACAGGAAATGGAAAAACTGACCTATAAAGCAAGCCCTTTTTTCACATTTTGCTTTATGGGGCAGATTGGGGAGATGAGAAGGTGAGGGTTCATCGGTTTGGCATTTTAATGAGATTCTTCTTCCAGCCTACTAAGGTTTTGTGGGTTAGTCAGCAACTGGAGAATCGTTTCTCAAAGTTGTGGGGTGGGGGGTGGTAACACGGGAGAAGGAAGGAAAATGGATCATGGTTTTCCATTTTAGGTTCCTTGTACACAGTGTGGGGTAGATTTTTAGTTTACCTTTATAAAGCATGACTAATTTGCACACAAAAAATATAATCAAATACCCCACTCCTTTGCAAACTGGTTTCTTTTAAGGGCGTCTAAAGTTACACTCCCTAAATATTAATTATTTTGGGGGAAAAACGTTTTCTTGCTGGTCCTTATCATTACTACCTGCCCCTTGCCTTGCTCTTTCCACTAATTAAAGCATAGAATAAAAGCTTTCCAAGCAAATCTCAATCCTTCCCTGTGCTTACATGTTTCTGGGAGAAGGGATTTCTACTTGACGCAATTGATTTTCAATTGCCCTTTTCCCCCCAGTGAATCCCAGCAACTTAATACTGGTGTATTGGCATCAGCACGGTGTCTAGGCCAAGAGCCAAGGCAATGAACAGCCTGCTAATTAATATTTCACATTTAGCTCCAGACCCCCTCCCCAGAACAAACACTGTGAAAACAGGAGGTAGCAGTTTCTACGCAGCCCTCAGGAAATTTTAAGCAAAAGTGGTTTTACTGCCAGTTTTATGCTTTTACACTGACGGCAGTAAGGGCTTCTGGTCCTAGAAAAGAAAATGTATTGCCTCCAATATGGAAAAAAATATTGAAAGTAATCTGAGCCTGATGTATCCATTTCTCAAAAAAGAAAAGCAAAAAGCAGTGTCTACAATGCTGCCTGCAGTCAGTGGAGAAATAAGGGCCGAATTTCTAGGCAGGAGAAAGGTAATTCATGTTGAAAATGTTGGTACCGTGCAACTATTATAGATTGATTATGTTTCCAGTAAAGCTGCAGATGTTGATTTTCAGTTACGAGGCAGATAATACCGTGAGCTTGTGGAGTTTGTGCATCTGGCACCTTTTCTTGCATATATATGTCTATTTATGCATATAAATAAGTTAAGAGATTATTTACATCAGTGTACAGAAGATATCTAAACTCAGTTATCAAAATGCATCCACCTGCCGGTGGGTTCAGTCTGTTAACACTTTGCATTTCATCTTCAAAGCACCAAACAAACACGAGTTATTTACCCAGGCAGCTTCCCACTCACCAAAAGGATTCAGAGTAACAGTGGGGGTAAGGGATGGAGCTGAGGGACCACGGCGCGTTCAGACGGATCTCTCTCTCTCCTGCCGTGAGCACTGCAGATTTACACCTCTATAAACTCTGCAGTCCAAGGGTAGGAGCAACCTTTGTAACACGAAGCTTGTCAAAATGGGGAAGTCCTCATTCAAAAGCAAATGATCCTTTCTTCATTTTCAAAAGCTTTGGCCTCTTCTTGGCTTATCAGGTTCCCGTTCAGACTGGAGGGGAAAAATAAGAGGGATGTGAAAGTCAGGCAGTGACTGTTGCCCATCTTCTATTTTTCCAAGCTTTTGGAGCAGAGATCCCAGCTTTGCAACGCCGTGGGAGTGACGTGCTTCTCAAGGGCACGCAGCTGGGAAAAACTGAACTAACACCTAAACTTCACCAAACTAAAATCCGTGTTGGATACGCAGCTGTGTGCATTTCAGCAAGCAGCACATACCTGACAAAGGTTCTTACCAGGCAGTGGGCTGGCTTAAAGAAATTTGAATACTCTTCAGAGCATTTTACGTCTTCTATGGCAACATGGGAAGAAAACTCTGCTAAATACTCAGGCACTATTGATGCGGAATGACTTACGGCAAAATGTCCAAGTCTGGCTCCATAACATACCTTGATATTTACACCCCTGAAAACAGGCAGCCTGGTAAGTGCAGCTTTCAGAAACGTTGAAATCTATGAAGCCATTTAGACTTATGAAATTATTGGGGTTAATGAACACCTCTGAAAATTCAGGCAAGAATCAAAAGGCAGATTTTGGTCTGAAGATTCAGAATGATTTGAGTGGGATTTGATGCCTCATCTGTAGACCAAAGCTGACAGTGGCTTTTGAAAAAAAAGCACCTCTTCCACATCTCCAGGGAACCCACGAGTCAGACAGTGAGTCATCGTCTTTCTAAGCAATAATTCAGTGTCCTTTCACTAAAACAAATACATATATTTAAAAATAAATTCCATGTTCAATAATAAAGCAGCAGCAGCGCTAAAACCAGCACGGTCCTATTGACTCCTGAGCTCCCTGAGGTAAAGGAAGGAATGTGGTATTTGGCTTTGTGCCTCACGATGCACATGTGTGACTATGCGATGCCTACCTCATGTGAAACAAGCAAATCTTACAAAAAGTTAATCTTCTTGTAGCTTAGCACTTTCAGCATGTTTGGAGCACTGCCCAAAGAAAATCCAAGCACAAATTCTATGAACCAAATTAGTAATGCTAATTAAATGTAACCATGTCCTGCTTGTTGGGATTTAGCCCCTGAAAAGCATGAACGTGTTCAGAAGTTTATTAAAAATAAATAGGCACAAGCAAGATTTGGTCTATAAATTTAGGCCCAAATTCTGCAAACACACACGTTCTGTGAATCAGTGGTACAGACAGACATGAGCAAACATAAGTGCTTGACGTTTGTAACACATGGGAAAGTGTTTCAATGACAGAGGCTTTTTACCTATTTGAAACCCACAGCTGGAACTGCAACCCCTGCCTCACATAAACTTGCTCTGAATTTTTTAGGCTGGAAAGTAGTAACGCCAGAAGCATTTTAAAGGGAAAGAAAGTTTACAAAGTGAGCCTTTGAGGAAGGGATCTTTACCAGACTTCTTTAATAGCTGTGTTCTCCTTGAGAGCTTCGCTGAGGTACTTCACCCCTTTGGCTGTAATTTTATTCTGGATAAGCCTGAAAAGAAAGCACTTCATGTCAAACTAATTTACAGCGCGTGCACCACCTACGCTCAGCTTGATGTCAAGGAGCAAAGCCTTGTGTTTGCCACAAGAAGATGGTTGTGATTTCCATCTGTGAGGATGATACATGGTATTGGTCAAATGCCCCACATGCCCTCTCAGAAACAGAGCAGTGTCAGTCTTTTATTTTTAATCTTGCATGTGGTTGCATTCTGGAGATACTGAGCTTAGTAACACAGCTGACAGATTTCTGCTCAGAACTGTTTACTACCAGTATGGGACTGTGATATCTGGACTCTCTGAGACAGACAAACCTCTTAGCGTTGTTTTCTTACTAAGAACACTGCGAGACATTTTTAAGTGATGTACAGAAAATTCTGAGTACAGAACCTGTGGAGGCTTAGTGTTTTAGCAGGTATGATCTAGAGGTTGCCAAATCCTCTTGTATTGTTTATCAGACCAGCAAGACCTTTGAAAAATATGGCATTGAATTTGACTCTAGAATGAGCAGGTGCGAGTCCCAGTGAAGCCACCTTGGCAGCTATAACGTGTCTCACCTGAGCTGAGGGAAAAAAATGATGCAAAAGATCCTCAAGTAGCACAACTGATGAAGCAGTTGGTAATTCTTATTAACCACTGTAGACCATACCTATAGCTAAAAGTTAACAAAGTCCCCTCATCTGCAGGAGCATAAAAATACGCATCAGCCTAGCCTAATTCAATGCTTACCTTTCAGCCTACCATGGTGTGCCCCACAGCTGTAACATTCCAGTGAGTGGCTGCATGAATCCCACAGGATTCAGGATGAAGCTGAAAGGTGGAATGAACTGAACTACCTCTTAGGGAGGGAGGGGAGGAAAGAGTCCTGTTGAAGGACTTTCTACGCTTGGTAAATTAATTAAAATGCAGAGGGATCCAGTAGATTCTTTCAGGTGCTGGAAAAACACTTTAATTCTGCCTCAAGTTCAATTATCTATACTATACATAGTGGTATTTATACCACTATGTAGTGGTATATATCTATACCACTACATTTTGGAGGTATCCACTGGTATAACCAACAAAGTAGGATATACATTTGTCTACTGGCTGAAACCCTTAGACAACAGTGAGTCATGGTAAAGACATCTATCTAGATTACTACGCCTGCTTCTGATGGGGTAAGGTGCATTATGAATTCAAACCAAAGAGCCAGTGAAGCGTATCTGCAGCTGTGCACAAAGAAATCAAACCCTCCCTCTCCCTTTTTGTTTTCAGGGTGATGGGCACCAGAGCTTCTACTGCTTTCAAAAGAAGCTACAAGTACTTGGCACCTCTGACAACCAGGACGCTTCCTAAGAGGTGGGAACGAGGATGAACACAGGGAACGCTACAGTGTGGTAGGTGAAGTCTTTGTAAAGCTTGCAAAGGGACTCCATTTATTATGTTCTCTTGATCACTTGGAATGAATGGATGGCTATTTGTTTCTGACCAACCCTGCCCATGGATAAATTCTTGTGAACCTCTGGATTAGAACAGCCAATGCTGTGTTTTCTTAGAAGTTTAACAAGTCTCTCTGCGCTTGCTAGAAATAATCGCTGGTTTCCTGGGGATTTATGCCTTACAGGTGAGTGTCTTGCATGAGTGGAAGTGCTAGCCCTAGAAGAAAACATCAGGCAAATGGGACGTGTTTTTTAGTAGCTGTCATGTAGGTTCTCGGTTGAAGAGTAAGAGTTGAGCTTGCTACTTGCACAGCATGATGATAAATAGTAAGAATCATAATAAGGTTATTCTATTCTAGCTGTCTGCTTGTAATATTTTTTTGAAACTTTTGTGTTTGGGACCAGTACTTTTTCCCCAAGGAGGGATGAAATCAATTAGTAGTTCAAAAGTTACCAGGACTCATGACCAGCTTAAACTCTTCCCTGTATGAAAGCAGGTTCAAAATGCTAGACAGCAGCTTTATTAACTTTCCATTAGAACTGTCTACAACCAGTCAGCTGCATCCAGACCATGCACAGAAAGCTTACTGTGACCTACATAGACTTGGAAGGTGAAGCTTTAATGCAGTGACTGCCAAAGAGCCTGTGCCTCTGTGGAATGTAACTCACCATAAATGCACCAGTTTCTTGTTGACCTTCAGCATCTCTGCAAAACTCATTGCTGCCTCATCATCCAGCTCATTTTTAGTCAGCCTAAGTGGGAGAGAAAACATTCACTTAGGATGCTATCATTATTTTTCAGCCCCCTTTTTTCCAGCTTGTCTGTGACTTAGCTTTAGACAGCCAAAGGGGGATGGTGCTGTTTCTGCCCTGAGCAATTTCTAAAGGCCGGACACAAAGAGAGACTGAAGAAAAGCCCTGGAGGTAAGAGAGACAAGAGTATCAGATCTTTATTTCTCATAGCAATTTTGTAATGATACTTTCTCATGATGTTTTAGTGTCTAAAAGATGGATGAGGTGTGGTGGAAAAAAGCAGAGGTAGAGACAGCACTGAATAGGTGCAAAAAGTGAGGACAAAGAACTTGACTTCAGACGATTGAAGTGTGAGAAGATGGGAAAAGCAAGATGGAGGGAGCAGTGAGAAGTATGACACTGGGATATTGGAGTCCTAAGCAAGGACTCCTAAGGGACTCTTGCTGGTGATCTGTTACTCATGACCACATTCTTCCAAAGGGAGAACATCTTATAGCTTGCTGGTAGTGAAGATATCTTGCACAGGGGATGAGGGGAGGGAGAGAAGAGGAAGAAGAGTTGGAGGAAGTGATAAGATTGGAGGAAATGAAATTAGGCTGCAGCTTTCCCTGAAGAAAGAATATCAGGAGAAGTAGACCACACTGTCAATTACCAGAATATTTTCACAGAGTTGTTGTGTTGCATAGCTTCAGCAATACTTTTGCCTCCCTCTGTCGTGATGCCATTGAATGCGAGGCTGTGAAGTAAAGACACAAACGTGTAAGAAACAGCCAGCATCACTTGCCCATTCCCCGGCCAAATACTAGTGAATACCCTGGTATTTGGGTGTTTTGAAGGCTCACATAATTTGCAAACCAGTAAGTCCTTATGACTTTTACAAGTAAGAACAGTTCACAGGCCACAGCCTGAGCACAGGTCTATCATACAGGCCATAAGGTTTGCTGTCAGTCAGTTGTACTCTTGGGACAAACAGCAGAGCTGCACCCAGTGATTCTGAGACTCATGGCTTTTAACAAGGACAAAGAGTTGTGCTTGGCAGTACACAGGTTTTCACATGCATTTGTCATCCCAAATCCCTGTACAAATTGTACTTTGTCCTTTAAAGTCCTTCAGATGCCTGAATATCTCATTCTTCTTCCAAACACAACACCTTCTGTTGTGTATGGGGAGATGAGCTTGTAAATGTGTGCTTTCCATTACAAACCACAAACATTTCTTAGTCTGCCCTTCATTCTTTGAATAGACATTGGCAAAATCATCCAGTTAAAGTTATGCTCCAGACTTTGAGAGTTCAAAAAGCATTTCCCACCTCAAAAGCCACGCCAGACCCTGAATATAGCACCAGGTGTGAAAAAAAAGTAGAAAGAGAGATCAAGTGGGGCAATGGCGCAAATACGTATTAGCAGAAGTCCCTGCAAGCGGCCAGACCCTGAATATAGCACCAGGTGTCAAAAAAAGTAGAAAGAGAGATCAAGGCAATGGCACAAATACGTATTAGCAGAAGTCCCTGCAAGCTTCAGCTGAAATTAAATATTCTTTGTTCATCATCACTGGGCCTAAAATTGGGGAATATGCTAAAGTAAACTGATGTAGCAGGGACTGTCTTCCCCTCATCTTCACATAAAGCTACCAGTGGTGCTTACTATGAATTCAAATCATCAAGCAAGATTAACCAGCAGAAGAAATGAACCCAAGTGCAAGAACACTGCAGAGCAGCAGGTTCACCCTACGCAGGTGCTAGCAAAACCTGGCTCCAGCCAGCACAGTTACTCCTCCTTATTTTTGCAAACACATTCATCAGCATATTTGTTGCCATCTGAGAATGCCTCAGCTCTGATTCAGGTTCAAAATGTTTTCTTTCAAGTCTGATGTGTCTGGATGGATTCTGCAATTATGGGAAGATGGCTATTTCAGATAGCTTTTAAGTTTAAGTATATCTAGGTCACTGCACCTGTTCAGCTTTTAATTTTTAAGCTCAGCTATCTGCTGGCAGAAAGGAGGACAAGACACCAACTCTGAAATCCCTGGATCTGAAGTGGCAGGAATAAGCTCTCCAGAGATCTCCAAACTCCCCGAGTACTGTGTTTCTAAAGAAACTAGTGTCATGTGCCACCTTGTGGGGAAACCAAGGAGCCTTGTCTGCTCCCTCACGGTGGAGGCCAGTGGCACTGGGAGACAAATCCAAAGGAACCCAGTGCTACAGCTGTGTGGAGGGACTCGAAAACAGCAGCAGCAGCCACAATACCCATCTTTACATCCCTAGCCAGCATCTGAAAGCCTGGCAAGGGATGGGCTGTTTTACACTGCTGGGCTTCTCTCCAGCTGTGCTACCAGCTTCACCCATGCTAGGGCTTCCAGAAGGCGAGTGAAAATGGACCCAGTGCTACAGCTGTGTGGAGGGACTCAAAAACAGCAGCACCAGCCACAATACCCATCTTTACATCCCTAGCCAGCATCTGAAAGCCTGGCAAGGGATGGGCTGTTTTACACTGCTGGGCTTCTCTCCAGCTGTGCTACCAGCTTCACCCATGCTAGGGCTTCCAGAAGGCGAGTGTGAGATGAATCACTGAACTCCACTGAGAACTACATCTCATTAGCACCGAAATGTGTGGTGTCATGGCTCCAATGGAGTACAGGATGAGCCTGAATTTGAGAGCACCCCAGTTCCTATCCAAACAGTTTATCGCCTAAAAATTACTTTGGTAAAAGCTGCTGTACCTTTGCAACAGAAACTGTTAATACTGAGCTCACTGGGAGCCTGATTCTGTGACAGCTGGTGCATCCTTCTGCTAGTGCTCCCGGATCAAAATGGTACCCACTGACCATGTGCTTTCACAAATGCCAGTAACTCTGTGCAGCATGAGGGGAGGAGGCGCAGATAGAGGAAAAGATGCCAGCCCTGCAATATTTTTAACTTGCTTCGTGGCTGCACAGGGCTTTTTGATTCAATCTGGCCTCTTGCTTGCACCAGGAGCCCGTTGGTTCCCCAGCGAAGGCTGCAATACCAGCTGGTGTTCCAGGCTAACACTGGGTGGGAGGACTCATGGCTTCAAAGCGCGGTGGGAACGCCGGCGTTACCCCAAGCTGCCTGGCTCTGCTGGTGTTTTACCTCACGTTTGTTAACCTGGGGTGGTTCCTCAGGGCCTCTGCAAACGCCTTTGCTCCTTCGTCTCCAACTTGATTACCCCACATCCTGATGAAGAGAGGAAACCAGGAGATATCAGATGTGCTGCCCTACTCAGCATTACATTCTCCCTTTTTCTCTTCCCTCCCTTGCCCCCGATTCCTTCACGATCTTCCAGACTTGCAAGAAACCTGGCAGGTACCCTCCCCACTGAGCCAGGCACGTTCCCCTCCCAGCACACCACACCACCAGCCTCTGCTGACCCACCAGTACCCTGAGGCCACAGCACAGAAGCAGCTCTAGGAGACGCCTGCTGCAGCAGGGGTGCTTTTGGGATCACCTTGCTGCGCTGGGCAAAACCCTCCACAGCCCTGTACCCAGATGGGTTAAAGGATTCTTGTGATCCTGTACAGTGAGCTGCTGTGAGAAACACACCGAGTCCTAAATCCTATCATTTCCCTGCTCAGCATTTCCTCCCCAAATCCCTGCTGCAGTTTTCCTGTTGGGCACAGACTAAGCCTTTAGTGCAAAAGTGCAAAGTACAGGTCTTGGGAAAGACTCCCCAGATGCACAACTGCCCAGGGACCCACACCCGAAGGGGTGGCTTTCTGAAGTGAACTGGTTTACAACCTGCCCCTCTCCTTCAGAATAGTCTGGCAAAACAGTTACAGTTCCTTCAGCGTTATACCCGAGTGATACATCCTCTCCAGCTGCCAAGAGAAAAATGAAACCCTCACAGGGACAGTATGACCCTGGGCTCTTCCACACCTTTGTATTTCCAATGGCAAAGCAACCCTCGGTGACACAAAGGGTTAAGAGAAGGTAACGTGCTGCAGAGATTTGATCAACATTTAATAGCAGTATCTGGGCAAATCTTTTCTATGCAGACCAACCTCTTTGAAAATTCATCCTATATATCATGAGGCTTGAAAGCACCTCTGCTGAGGTATAAAGTTTTTTTTACAAGGATCATGGCTTGATGACTCAGAGCCACACTCAGCTTGATGGGTAATTAGTTGGCAGCTCTTTTAAAATCAATTGAGCTTTGTGGTATCTAGACACATCCACTTCCAGTAAGTTCCCTAGAATTTCCTTGTCCTTCAGTCCCAATGCAGTTTGTTATGTAAATGCTGAATGTATCTGTTTAAACATTTCTGTCCAGGCTATCCTAAATCCATTTGGAGTGATTATCCTCCTCCACAGGAGAAAATAGGAGTCCTTAACTGAAATTACAGCAAGTACAGCACAACAGCCCCAGCTATGTAACACTGGAAGTATGCATGCATGCCGCTGACTATACCTGTGAAATGCTGTAGAATAACAAACTTAAAAGGCCAAAAGTCTGACTGTTCAAATCTGATTTTCATATTTTAGGGTTATTGTGATATTCATAATGGCCAAACAGAAGTTTAAATTCCTTGCATTTCAGTATTAGTATCTGAGAAAAATGTTCTCCTGTAGAGTGAAAAGAGAACTGGGATTTGCCAGAGGGGAAAAAAAAACAAAACCAACCAACCAACCAACCCCTCAAGTCTAGCATCTCTCTCGAGAAAGAGGACAGGGATTAAAGGTCTACAGTATATTCAGACCTCTCTCCAACAATAGCAGACTCTCCAGTTTGGGACAGACTATTGAGAAGGATGATGGGAATTCCTTCTTATTCTCTAAGCTCACAACTTTATCAGGACTCGATGCAGGAAGTTTGACAATTATAACAATGACACTCAATAACTAGGTACACTGCCAATAGTAATAAGTCCACCCAGACTTTTAAAACTGACCAAATATCTCTGGAACAGCTGTGTTGCCATAAGGAAAGTGGTTATCTTTACATACTGTCCTCTTTTTAGATTGTCTTTCCCTTAAAGTTCTGTCAGAACAGGGAAAAAAACCCCAAACTGAACACTGTGTGAACTGGAGAACAATATAGCAGCCCTCCTTTTCACCCTGAGTGGGAAGTGTGGCTGTGCTTCTGCACCAATTTGTTCTAGTGCCACTGTGGGGAGAAATGGCAGAAGGGGAGAAATGGCAGAAGGGGAGAACTTTGTAGAGTAGGGCTGATGGTTGGACTCGATGATCCCAAGGGTCTTTTCCAACCTAAATGATTCTATGAAAGAAGGTAAGAATAAAAGAAGGAATCCTAAAAGATTTACAGATGCCTTGACAGGACCAGGCCCTGAGCTCTGCTCCTTAGCACTGAACTTACCCAATTTCAAACATTGTCTTGCTCTTCTGGATGGCCTGGGCAAGGCACTTCCCTCCTTCACTCGTTATTTTGTTTGCTCCTATTCTGCACAAAATACATGAATTGATGAGGTATATCACTTACAACAGTACAGCTATTAAAACACCAGCTCAGAAAGCAATACAAGTATTTAAGGCTAATTAACTCTGGAGGCTAGCTACAGTTATCAAATATTAACCTAGAGGAAAAAATACCACAGGCGTTTTACCTTTGATTAAAAGACATAATTTTATGTTGTCTGTTACGTATTTTGCATGTCAGCCCTCCAAATTGAAAGTATTACTACAATGTCTTGATTTTGGTGCTCAGTATGTCAGAAACAAACTTTAGGAACTGATCCTCAAGACAAGGACCCCTGCCTAGTTTTAATATAGTTCATAATAGCAGCAGCTGCTACAGAGTACCTGAATTACATGCAGCATGTTTCATGATGCCACAGGGAACACAGTATTTCTTGGCTGTGTGACTCCAGACGAGATTGCAGCTGATAAGCACAGATTGTAAGAATTTCAAGTCTTTCTGTTCTGAGCACAGGCTATAGGCAGTGGCATAGGTCAGTGCAGCAGGGAGTGTCTCTGGCTAGCCCTCTACAGAAGACCTTTTCTTTTTTTGGCCTACATGGGGATGTCAAATGGCTGGGGTTCAAGGAAGAGATCAGTCTCAATTGCATATACAAAGACGTAAAGAACAAATCAAAACCACCCCACTACCCCCTCCAACCCACTACATTTACATAAGTAAAACTGGCTTGTTTGACTGACTTCAGGCATGTGAATATGCACTCTATATCAAAATAATCTGTGGGTTTACTATGCAGCCTGAAAGCAACCATCTTCCAACAGGCTTTGTTGTAAAAGTTAGATTCAATGAGCAAAGCACTGTGTCAAAACAGTGAACGAACCAGAGTGCTTTTGGGTTTCAAAACTACAAATATTTTAAGTGGGAAGGATGTGGCTAGTGTGGTGTTTCAGAGCAAGTTAGTGGTAGAAGGAGGATCAGAACCCAAGTCCCTGGCTGCTGGTTGCTACATTCATACCAGCAGCTGCCATGGCTGTAGTTGCCTCTATTTTCTGCTGTGGTCACAATGAAACCAGCAGTTAATGATCTACCTTTATGTCAAATCAGTGTCATGCATGGCCAGGCACTCTTATCTAGGGAAGTTCCAGGAATTAAAGGGAACAACACACCAAGTGAATTTGGGGAATTCCAGAATTGAGGTATGACATCAGGACAGCCCAACTCCAATGGCCTGTAAAGAAGCTTGGTTCTAAATCCAAGTGAATTTACCTATTGCAAGCAGCAGCACAGGTCATGCGCCGCTTCAGCCTCACTCAGATGCTCAGACTGGATTTAGGTAAAGAACAGGTCTCATGCTCTCCTTTTGCTTACTGCTATATCCCAGCAAAGACTATGGGTTTAAGAGTTTCACCTGCTGCCATTCGCTGCTAGACTATTGTAAAATAATACACAATTGCAACCTAAGTTATATTTGATTTGAAACACGTTTTTTTCTCTTTTTTCCATGCTCCCTCCCATTTCAAGTTGCTGTACCTTAATTAGGATACTGTAGAAAGGAAAAAAAATCCCACATACTTAACGTATTCAAGGCTCGAACACTCTTCAATTAGTTTTGCCACATATTTAGCTCCGACATCAGTGATTTGATTGTTGTATAAGCTTAAAGAAAAATAACATTGGTAAAAATAGGTTATTCCTGCTGTTACTTTAATATTTACAACCTGAATGTTTTATAATGCACACATCACATCTGTCTTATTTGCACGGCTTTGTGCACATTCACAGTTGCTTGTAATATTTCTATTTTGATACACAATTCATATCGTGAAGGGCTAGATATAAAATACAGAGAGACCAGACTGTAAATCATAGGAAAATACTGATATGATTTTTTTAATATATGGTCTCCCAGAGCAAATAAAGCTTCTCTTTATTCCTGAGTTATTACAGAAATAATATTGCCAGAAGAGAAGTCAGATGAGAAAACACCAGAAGAACATCTTTCTGATCTTTTAAAAGTCATCAAATCCCCTTGCAAATATTACAGAAGATCAGATACCTGAGCAGATGTACTTACATTAGGGCACCGGAGGAAGGAGGTGATTCTTGGTATTCATGTTCACTTCTCAAAAAGTCATTTTTCTGTAGCTACTTAACCAAGAGCAGGAAGTCAGAGCTAACATGCCTTCCAGCTTCAACTCGGTTAAGAACTAATTAAAGTCTTAAAGAAATTGGTAGCATGAATGTAACGCTTGAAATTGTATGTTTCTGATACTAGTCTCTCTCAAGCTGCATCTGCTTTGCATAGTTAAAATAAATCATTTTACAGCAGAGAAAAGAGGAGGCTTGGTGTCAGTAGGGGCCACCCTGCGAGGCACTGCCCTGGGGGAGAAGGCTGTGGTCCCTTCCCAGTGAACTGTGACAGGGTGGCAGCTGATTCATTTCTGACACAAAATGCTGCTTTGCTTCTGTTCAGTAAATGAGGGGGTAACTGTGGTTTCCACCCCACCTGTGCTGTGTCAGTACTGTCAGGATCGTTGTTTTATCTTCTAGTGTAAATACCTAATCTTTTTGCTCCCAATTGGTACCTACCCCAAGAAAGTCACAATTTGGTACTTGGAGAGTTCTTCATACAAGATCCTCACTCCGTGATCTGTGACCTGATTTACACTGAGCCTGGAATGAAGTGAAGGAAAAGAAAGTCTGAATCAATACAGATTACAAGTGTTCATCGCCCATGAGTTAACGAATGACTGGAGGTCTATGCATTTTCCTCTGATATTTTAACAGGTCACATATTAAAAGCCATTAAGGCAAATGTGAGCTCAATTTCATGTGGTCCATTTCAAAAACAATAGAAAACAAAAGCCCAAAATCTCCAAGATAATGCTCTGGAAGCTGTCCAAAGAACTGAAACCAATAAAATGTGTCAGAAACCAGGCACAAACACCTCATCCTCCTCCTGCGCTTACTGTGATGGCAGGAAGAAATTCTGGTTGACACCCTAGCAAAAGCAAGCTTTCCAAACTACTATTATTGCAACCTTCTCTCCGAGTACCTAGTGAAAGCCAGGCATCTCAGAAGTCACAACACATTCAGGCTCCACTGAACAAAGGTTGTGAAAAGCCCTGGCCAGGAAATACAACTTCAGTCCCATGAGTGTGCTAGATGTTTCTAATTTTATTGTCCCCACTAGACATGAAACAAATCAACATCAGTCATTCACAGAATAAAAATACTTCTTTTTACGGTTGTTTGTGGGGTTGGCTTTTTGGTCATCATCTTTTTTTTTGTTATTTATTTATTAAACTTCTCAAGCTTTTTCACCATGCCCAAATGGACAGGTTCTCATGAAGCATTCCAACACTGATCAAGCCCATTTTCTGGATAAAGCTGTCTGCATGAAAACATTTTGACCAGCTTTGGTTTCTACACAAACTCTGAAGCTGAACATTCACAGTTGAGAGTCCCTTATCACCAACAGCCTCCCTGGCTCTTGCTCATTAGTAACTTGGTCACTTTGGAATGGACTAGCACACAGGAGAAATCAGAGCCAATTTCTGCAGCTCAGAACAGCCTGCTTCTATGAAAGGGACAGTTAATGCTGTTAGAAACATTTCCTGCCCTGCAGAAATTGGTCATTAGAAATCAAAGTCCTAACATCAGAAGAGCCATACAGACAAAAAGGCAACCTAACAGACTGGTTTGGTGCTGGGGATGATATTAAGATCACACTGGCATGCTTAACACATACATGGCATGATCATATGATAGGGATAAAGAATCAAAGTGTTTCCTTTTCTTCTTTGTTTTGTCTTATGTACTTAGGCATTTCACCCCCAAGTTTCTTTATTGCTTTCTCTTGGAAGGTCAGTTGATTTGCAACTAAGTGGAAAAAACAAGTGTCACTTGCTTTGATTTAGTCCTGGCGTAAAAAAAGGCAGAGCACAGCCAACCTGAAGGAATAAATCCATTTATAAAAAAAAATTCTCATGAGGCTGAAGGAGCTTTAAAAAAGACATATTTGAAGTTCCTGGTTTTCTGCACCTTAACGTTTGGACAAATGAGGTATAGCTACATAGTACAACTTAAAGGACTGGAGGTGGAACAATCTGGCCTGTGATGTTAGGGGTGGAGTTAGTTCTCCCTGATCACATACACGTCCTCCCTTCACATCACCTCAGGGAAATACCACATCTAAAATCTTCAACTACATCCTTTCATGGAGTACTATGTGTTAGCTTTTGTTCTGTGAAAGCCAGACATCTTGGCAGGATGTAAAAGCAAGAAATCCAGAGCTTTTGATCAAGGGTTATAGTAGATCCTCTCTTATCCCATCTGACCAAGGGCACAGATAGGCTCAGCCAGTCTTCAGATAATGGAGGAAACGCTTTTGTTTCCTTTCTTTTCCCTTAAGCGCTTTCTACCATAACAATCCTCTTTCAAGACCACAGAGTCTGAGACTGAGCTAACTAAACCTGCAGGTTTAAACAGTCCTGGCTTCTAAGGACTTCTTATCACCTTTTCCATTCGGGTTTCCAAATTCACAGCCTGTCTCTGCTCCTGTGACTGGCTGGACAAAGATTTCAGAAGATCTGAAACTAATTTCCAGCAGCAGTATCCTTATCTTTCTCCGCTTTCAAGATAAATTCCTCCAGCCCAGCAGTTTGTGGAATAAACCAAGGATAAGCAAGGCTCTGCTTGCACAGACTCCTACCTGATCACTGCAAGCTTGCTGAAACAAGGTAGCAGCTGTTTTACTCCATAGTCATTGATATTGTTGTTGTCCAAATCCAGAGCCAGGCGCTTTTGAAAGTGGTGCATGACAAAGGAAATGGCACTGCAGTCAGCAGAGTAGGCATTGCAGTAGGTGAGCTTGATGTAATTGGCGTGCATGCGTTTGGCAGCCAGTTTCCCCACTTTCTCACTCTGGGTCTCATAAAGGCACCTCAGCATCCAAACAAAGTTGGGCCGGACCTGGATCTGATTGTAGTTTGGAAGCCTTGCCCGAGTGAGGCCTTTCAGATGGGATTTCATGCTCTCCCCGAGGTACGTGACGAGCGCCTTTCTTTTCCTTTTAATGACTGCAGGCAAAACTAAATGTCTGAAAAGCTTCTGCTTGGATCTAGAAAGCAGGCCACAGAGAAACAGGTTGGTAAAGTGAAAGTGTTCATTATTTCGGAAGGGATCCTCCCCTGCTAGTTGTTTTTTCAACCAAGGAATACGAAGGCAAGTAGGCTGGGCAATCTCAGTGGAAGAACATTCATTGAAAAACTGAAGTAACTCCTTGGTGCCAACTTTCTCTTCAATAACCAGGAACAAAGCTGTGAAAAAAGACTGAAGGGTTAAGTGCAAGAACTCGTAAGTGGACTGATTGTCACAGCCACTATAACCTTTAACTGTCCTGAGAAAGCCCAATTGCAAATCTTCTTCAGAGATGTTCGCTGATGAGACCTCCTCCTGCTCAAAGATAAAGAAAGAGTTCCCCATCCCTTTGTATGCCATTTTACCCAAAGCTAGAAGAGTTTCCTTTCTTGATTTGAGCATCTCGGCCTGGCTCCTGGTGTTATTCTTCAGCAAACTTGTTTTCAGAGATCGGTTCAGATGGACTTCAATCATGAGCAAAAATACATCTGTCAATGTAACAGAACAGTCTGGAAGCTCGTGGCTGTCAGACATGGAATGGAAGTGTTCATAGCACTTAAAGATAATCCAACAAAATAAAGGCACTGAACATAAACTGCAGAGATTGGGGTTGGCTTCCAACTGGTTCAACACCAGTGTTCGTTGCCCCTCATCTTTGAAAAACATGGCAGTGTACTCCTTCAGGTTATTGCTGGAGAAACCACGGAGCAACACTTTCTTTCTAATGATGTTTCTTTGGATCTCGGTTCCTGTCCTTGCTGTAAGAATTTTCTTGGATCCCTTAAGAAGCTTTCCTCTGAGAAGACTTACCAGCAGCACCAGGGGGTGGATGGCTTCATTGGGCGAGCACATCTCAGGAACACTACTGAGATCAAAGTTGGAATAGATCTCATCGAAGCCGTCAAATGTAAAAAGAACTGTATGAGGGAATTGCAAGATGTGATGGAACACCTCTGCGGGGTCCTGGTCTGGGTAGCAATTGTATTTGAAGAGTAGGTCTTTCAAACATACGGCTTCATCTTCCTTAAAGCAACTAAACATCCTACATCGGAAACGGAAGAAAAATTTGGCCCCTATGTCCAATTCTTTTCTGGCCCAAAGACTTTGTATCTTTTGCAGCAAGATGGATTTTCCAATTCCTGCATCACCAAAGACATAAATAGTCTCTCCATCTTCATTAATTACCCCAACTGCATCATCAAAAAGGGCTTCTAATTGAGACACTTTGCCTAGACTCTCATTGTTAAAACTGACCAGCTCCATAATACTGTTAGAGTAGATTTCTTCAAGCAGCATCTCTTCCCTCTGAGCGTAGGACACGACAAACTTGGAGTCCCGTCCCAGTTCATATCGGAGCTTCTGGCAATACCTGCTAACTAAAAGGACAGTGAACTATTATTAAAAAGACTATTTATTAAAAAGTATAAATGTATACAGTAACCCAGCTATTTGGGAACTAAGAAAAGGTAATAAACTAAAAAAATTCTTATGTAAAAATGCTTCTTTGGCAGATTACTTATATTTATTTGTGATGCCATCATCACTCTCTGGGAAATTCAAGTGCTAATGAAAGAGGTAACATGTGAGCTACCATTTCCCAAAAGCAGGGACTGACATTGCATTGCTTTAAGGGGCTGCTGTCTTTCATCTGAGCCTCAAAGCCAAGCCCCAGACTTTCATTAAAGACTGTTTTACTCTCAGCAAAGGCAGGGCTTGGTGGTCACTGATTAGCTTTGGCATCTGCCTTTTCACTATATTTATATTCTACCTGCAATTTCTATCAGGTAGGTTGTTACTCTTTCCTAACTTGTTCAGTAATTTTTATTATCGTAAATAGAAGACATTTTAATGCCTAGAATGCTAGGCACCTCAAATGGTTCTTTTAAGGTCTCAGTTATTGTGCAATGTTGGCTTGTGTTTTTATTGCAACAGAAACTTATCTTCAGACGGGGGCAAAGTAATTCTTGTATTTGTATAGTATGAAAAAACCCTTCAAGAGGGAAACATTTATTTCTGCAATACTTTGACTTCTGGTACAACTCATCATTTAGGATCACAGAATAATTCAGGTTGGAAGGGACTTTAGAAGGTCTTTAGTCCAACCTCTCTCAGAACAGGGTCATTTTTGAGATCAGGTGAGGCTACTCAAGGCTTTATCTAGTTGGATCTTGAAAACCTCCAAGTATGGAGGCTGTAGTGTCTCTCTGGGCAACCTGCCTCATTGCCTGACTGTCCTCATCATGAAATACTGGATATTCCATTGCCAAATACCACAGCGTGGCTAATAAATTGTAGCAGAAGGCTAGAGAATACAACGGCTGGCCCAAAGCGGTTACGCCATTATGCTACGTATCCACAAACAAAACAGAGAAAGAGCTTGACGTCAGCACAACAGGATGTAATATATCAACATGACTCTTGCGTTACACAGTGTGCCTTTTAATTATCTGGCTACCACTGCTATCAAGCACAGCATGCGCACATTTATTTTCCCTGGCTGTGCCTGCCCAGACTCTCTTACTCCTCCATCACCTGGTTCGAGCTTCCTATGTAGCAGGGTAGTTCTAAGGAAAGGAATAGAGATGCACGACCTTACCTGGATCTGTATTGACTACAGGTTTACTACAGATATTCTCTGAAGGCTCGTAACCTATTTCATCCAGCCAAGGCTGAAGTTCGTAGTAAGCATCAGTGACTTTCTGCAGGACACGGATGAAATATTCTGAGACTTCTTCTCCCTTGCTCTGAACCAAGTCTAGAATTTTGCGAACCTGAAAAAGCATCATGTGAAAGGTCACTGAGGCACAGCATTTTCCCACAGTTACACTTGGAGACTGCTTTAGGATCTTTTTTGCACTAGAACCGGGCACCAAAATCAAAACTGGTGCTTCAAAAATTTGAATCCAAAATCTAGCTCTGAATTTGAACCACCACAAAACTGACTTTGTATTTGTATGTTGCAAGAAAGTTTGATCTGCAAGTTAAGGTCTGAACTTGTAGTTAAAATGTACGCTAACCAGAAAAAAAATAGGGAGCCCAAAGGATTTCCTCAGCCTGGCTAGATAGTATATTTTAAATCCCATGACGGTTAAAACAAAAAAGAAAGGGGTGGGTTCTCAGTGCCCTAAATTTACTCTTTAGAAGGTCTTTAGTCCAACCTCTCTCAGAACAGGGTCATTTTTGAGATCAGGTGAGGCTACTCAAGGCTTTATCTAGTTGGATCTTGAAAACCTCCAAGTATGGAGGCTGTAGTGTCTCTCTGGGCAACCTGCCTCATTGCCTGACTGTCCTCATCATGAAATACTGGATATTCCATTGCCAAATACCACAGCGTGGCTAATAAATTGTAGCAGAAGGCTAGAGAATACAACGGCTGGCCCAAAGCGGTTACGCCATTATGCTACGTATCCACAAACAAAACAGAGAAAGAGCTTGACGTCAGCACAACAGGATGTAATATATCAACATGACTCTTGCGTTACACAGTGTGCCTTTTAATTATCTGGCTACCACTGCTATCAAGCACAGCATGCGCACATTTATTTTCCCTGGCTGTGCCTGCCCAGACTCTCTTACTCCTCCATCACCTGGTTCGAGCTTCCTATGTAGCAGGGTAGTTCTAAGGAAAGGAATAGAGATGCACGACCTTACCTGGATCTGTATTGACTACAGGTTTACTACAGATATTCTCTGAAGGCTCGTAACCTATTTCATCCAGCCAAGGCTGAAGTTCGTAGTAAGCATCAGTGACTTTCTGCAGGACACGGATGAAATATTCTGAGACTTCTTCTCCCTTGCTCTGAACCAAGTCTAGAATTTTGCGAACCTGAAAAAGCATCATGTGAAAGGTCACTGAGGCACAGCATTTTCCCACAGTTACACTTGGAGACTGCTTTAGGATCTTTTTTGCACTAGAACCGGGCACCAAAATCAAAACTGGTGCTTCAAAAATTTGAATCCAAAATCTAGCTCTGAATTTGAACCACCACAAAACTGACTTTGTATTTGTATGTTGCAAGAAAGTTTGATCTGCAAGTTAAGGTCTGAACTTGTAGTTAAAATGTACGCTAACCAGAAAAAAAATAGGGAGCCCAAAGGATTTCCTCAGCCTGGCTAGATAGTATATTTTAAATCCCATGACGGTTAAAACAAAAAAGAAAGGGGTGGGTTCTCAGTGCCCTAAATTTACTCTCTGGTTTGTAAATATTCCAGTCACATTTAGATTTATCTCAGGCTCCAGCCAGATGCAGAGTTGAGTAGGTAGAATCTCTCTCTGGATCTTAATACAGATCCAAAACCCTACAACTCTTCTTTTTAACACAGCAACTCAATTCTGCAGGCTTCCTCTGTACAATGGACTCCTTGCCTGAAACTGTTCCTAAAAATAATGGCTACCAGGCAGTGGCTGGAGCAGTTCAAGACTAAGTGCTACCTCTAAAGGCAAGGCAGAATCTGATCTCTGTGCAACCAGTACAGGGCAACCCTAGTACAAAACCCTCTGCAAAACAGAGTGATCATTTGGGGGCCCATTTTGAATGTCTGAATTCTTCTCTTGCTGAAAATGAATGAAGAACTCAGTTCTAAACCAGACAAAGGTTTCTAGAGACTGTAGTGAGCTTAAAGCGGTGTGAGGTACGTACAGCACAGCAAAAGCATGGTTATTTTTTGACATTTTTTATGCTCTAAAAAGCAATTTTATGCCTTCCAGAATAGCTCCCACAGAGTTCAGTTCACTTACTATTGTGGTCTGCTCCCTGTCTCTGCTTAGGCTCCCGATGCACAGCCTCCCCCTCAGCTCATGTATATTATGCTGGACAATAACTAATAGAGATGATCATAGGGCATGCATTTATTCAGCTTTGACCCACAGAGCGAGCACTGTGTTACCATTTCAACTTGCCAGCAAGAATTACTATTTTATGAAAATCTGCACTGTTAGTGAAGTCCAAAATCCCTGATTTTTTTATGGTTTGCCTGCCTCTAACTGCGACGCTATTCTGAAGCTGCATGACTGGAAATAGGTCATGTTTTAAGTCATGATGCAGAGATAACTGTGTACGTGTGACAATTTCATCCTATCAAAAGACCAGGAAATATTTTTTGCTACTGATGTCCACAGAGGAATCAAAACCCCAAATGTGTTAGGATATAGCAATTTTCCATTTACAGTCTATATAGGCCTTTAAAGAGAAGGGAAGGTGTGCACATGGACAACACACAATCATTAACTTCCAAATTGGTATTTAATTTCTGTCTCTCCTCCTCTAAAGCAGGATCATCTGTCCCACAGCATCCTGAAGTAGATTTTCCTTGCAAGATTCTGCACAATAGCCCAGGCTTTAGTGTAGCAAGCTGCACTCTAAGGGCCACTGTGGTCACCTCTTATCAGAGGACAAAGCTGCAGCTGGGGAGGACAGACCAGCAATTATCACCCTGATTGTTCTTATAGCTGCCAAGGGTCATTACAAGCAGTGCCAGCCATGCTGGAAAGAGATGTGCAGGAGACACTTGTCCAGAAGGAACAGGGTAGGAAAATTCCAAAACAACAAAGATTAGAAGAGACACTAGACATAAAATTGCCAGATAAAGCCCATAAACCCCAGTGATAAATTAAAAGTAACAAAGAGTTTACGCTGGCTAGGGAAATAAAAAGAATACCTTATCTGCTTGAGTTGGAAATTGGACAACAATCTCTGCATCTTCAGTGGAGAAGTAGTCATTCTTAATCAAGTTGTCAATCAAACACTGCGTGTTGCGGATTCTACTGACCAGAAGTTCTCGGTACACCTTCAGCAAAGCGATGAAGGATGGAAGACTTGCTCCTGGAGGTTTTTCCACAGAAATTTCCTTAGCACAAAGTTGGCCTTCCATAGTTGAGACAGTAAGAAGCTGCTCCCCCTAGCCTCATCTTTGACAAGCTGTCCATTTGCAGTGAGAAGTCAGCTTGGAGTTAACTTTGAGGAAACAGGCAATCTGTTCTTCACATACCGAACCTGTAAAAAGTAATTGTATAGAATCTCAATTTAAACCTTATCATATGCAGGTACATCCCCCAATTAACCACCAAAGAATACTTCCAACCTCTGCAGAATGTCATGGCTAACTTTTTAAGTTTCTTTCTCAGGTACTTCCATTTATTTGTTCGAATTTTGGAAAAAAAAAATAATCTGCAGCAGGCAGTCTCCCTTCTGTACCAGTACTTTCCTGTAGCTTGCCTCAACCAACACCACTGGCATCTGCTTTATTAACTGCCTGTTCTTAGTGCATAATTTAATATTTTTTATTAGCTTTTCATGTTTCAAGAGACAAAGCAGGGCATCTGTCCAAACATATCTGGACAAGGAAATAAACGGAATAAAATTATATTTCACAGCAATTAATTTTGTAGGAGGAATTAATTTATAGTAGCGATCCACTCTGCTTTTTCTTTGTTTCAACAGCAGACCCTGTAGAAAGTGTTGCCAATAAGATAATTGTCCTTGTAAGCGAGGCCTTGTGAACTCTGAGACAGTTTTAGGTGAACTAGGAAAAAGTGCTCAGCTTCAGGGCTCCAGGGTTGAGAGGTGGTAGCAAGACTGTGGGAAAACCACCCATCAGATGCTTCTGTTAAGAAAGCCAAGAGTAAGATGATGCTGACAGTGAAAACGCTGCTGGAGATTTCAGAGTTAGTACACCACTTAGGGGCACATCTCCTAAAGCTATTGGTTCAGCCTGCCTATATAACAGGGAACATATTGCGTTGGTTTCATTTGGTTAAGCTTATCAAATTCAGGTAAGTAACCATAAAACTCAAAAAATTACAGTTTTTCAGAATCTGAAAAATAAAAATGTTACAGAAAGGACTGAAATAAGTGTTTGTAAATATACAGCATCCCATCTCTAGTAATTCACACAAAAAATCTGGACCTCTCTGTGAGCAGGAATTGCACAGAATAACTGAATTCACAGACTCTTTCCTCCTATGATGCACGAGGCCTGGAAGATGGCATGACAATCCATATTCATTACTGGATTGGGCATCCAACCCAACTCCATCTTCATAAAGGAAAGAGATTGCACACAACACAGCTTGTAACGAAGATATCAATTTAAAGGCCTGTGCAAACACTTAGGTTTGAACACCTGACCTCAGCCTCTGTATGTACACAACGTGATCATTAACTCAGACAGTTACGGGCTCAGGAAACCCTCTCATTGCTGTAGAGATGCTTAGAAACTGTACTCTTTAGCATGAATGCTCTCTTCTTGTCTACAAATATATATGCTGTGTATGCCCTCATTCTTTATACCAGCTCTTGAGAGCTCTTTTTAGATGGCCATTTATTCCCATTTTTATTTACAAGGCATAAGGCAGTAGGAATCAGGATTAGACTGCTCGCTATTGTATTACTAAAGGTGTTTTTTTTTAAATTGCAGTTAATATACCACATAGCAGGCATGAAGTTATATTGTAATTACAATTCAACGAAAAGTTAATTTAGGTACTATTTAGTTATGAACCTTGCACGTATGATTTCCCATGCAAAAAGCAGATTTTTTGCAAGATCACAACTGAATCACCTCCACATAGACAATGAGAATTTGCACAATCAACACAAATTACTGGCATCCTGTAGTAACAGGTAAAATGTACTGTTGCTTCAGCAGGTCATATTTGGAAGAATGTTCTTAAATTTGGATTACAGTCATACTAATAAAAACAAAACACAAAGCTCTTCTTCAACAATTCTGTAAAGGTGCCAGCTCTGCTGCTACATAACTCTCACAATTTCCCAACATGTTTACAGCGCTGGCAAACTGTCCAAATGCTCCTCAGCACTTCCCTGACAAGCTATAACTGAGCCCTGCCAGCTCACAGATTCTTCTAGGTGACCTGCTACTGAAACAAACTAATTTCTATGGGTTTTCCATACCAGAAGCTGCGGCTCTGCATCAGTGTAGCTTCTCCTGCTTGGCACTGGAGGAAGGCATGATTTATCCTACTGCATTTTAGTGATAGTAACTATCTACACTTACAACCACAGGGCAAACCAGCTTAGCTCCTCTGATGTCAGGAGACCAATAGGTCCTGACTTGGTCCTCCTAAGAGATGTGGGTAACTGCATTAAAGCTTGAGCCCTCTGAAGGCTGAGACCAGACGAATCCCCAGCACGACTGTTCTGGATCACAGCCAGCTTCCAAACTGCAAAACTCTTTCAACCAAAGGGAATGCAAGCAAGTGATCTGACTTTCCTACCACATGAGTGAGTGAGTGCATCTACTCAGACAAACCAACCTTTCATCATGCCACTCACATGACCCACCAGATGAAGAGGCTGACTTCTGAGTCACTCAGCTTCCTAGAAGCCACATTGGCACATCTCTTTGTTCAAGAAAGCTCGTTCCATAAATGAAGTCTATCATGAAGACCAAACAATATTGAAAACATCATTAACTCTAAAGTTTTTGCAAGCTTTTAGTTAAAGAGATAGAGTCACCTTAAAACATATGTAATAGAAACATTAACCCTTTTCTTTCAAGATACTGCATCTACCCAATGTTCCCTGCTTGCTTCGGTTATTCTAGGACATTTGGTTATCCTAATTCATTTTCTTTCTTCCAACTTTGTTTGAAGAACTGAGACAAACATCCACAAAACTATAACGATGAGCCAAAGTGCTGTCCTGTGTACAAAACAAACATCAGTATTTTCTTCACTCTTTCAGATCCATCTACAAAGAGGATAAGAAGAGAAAGAAGAAATATAGCAAAAGGACAGGTACATGGAAAATATGGAAGGATCAGGATGTCTCAAAGATGCCTACCCTGCACCCAAGTGCAAGTCAGTACAGAGCCTGGTTGCTGCTGGAAGGGGTGTGCATACACATACTGCAGGAGACAGCATGTTCCCTTTCACAGAGGGTGATCTGCAAGAGAGTGGAGAAATAAGTGAGCAATTGAAAAAGCATATGAAGTAAGGGTAAGCATCAGGGGAGAAAAGGAGAAAGAGCAAAAACACTGAGGAGGGAAGTCAGCGCTGGCAATATGAATTCTATGCATGATGACGTACTCAGTGATATTTTCAGTGCCAATATTAACTTTAAGGCAAAAACCACACACCAACCAGTACTGGAGAAAACAGTAATTTCCATCAATCTCTTTTAATATGAAAAAATGGAAATTTCTACTATCCATAGGCTAAGAAAATGTCACATCAGATGAGCAGCTGAACACTTTAAACTGTGCTGGAACAGAAAGACTTCCTGCCACCTGTAGTTTGTAGCAAAGTGTATCAGCTATATGAAGAAACTTGAAGTCCTACTCAGACTAAAGTAAACAAAAAATTTCTACAGTAGCAGTTCTAGCTGCAACCCCACCTAAAAGTTCTGATCAGCATGAGAAAGGTGCTTGTTCTCTCAGAGAAACACACTGTGCTTAAGATTCTGACATACATGATTCTGTTTTGCTGGCGGCAGTTGTTCTTATTTTTAACACTAGGCCAATATGTTGACATCATGAGGTCTCCAACTTATCTGCAAGTCCACCACCTCTCTTTCTGGAAAGAGTCCCAGCTCCCACTGTGCTTTAAGATGAGTCTTTCAGTGAGGGATGATAGGGTTACAAAGTACTAAGTCTCTTTTTACAAGAATCTGTTAGTTTTACAATGCTAGGTTACACATCTGGTATGTTTAAAGGTAAATGTTTATGCAGCTCGTAAATATGCGTTGAAAGCAATTGCTTGCTAGAGTGTATATAGTGTTCTTTGCCTTATCTTGGGCACTCCAGATGCAGGATTCCATTCCAGTGCAATTCTTGGGACCCATGTGGCATCAGTCATGGAAATGCTGTTAGAAAAGACTGAGACATACATTAATGTGAGACACCTCTGTGCACTGACCAAGGTCTAAAGCCATGCACTGTTGAGAACTACCGCCTCATTTCTAAAAAGATTAATAAATAAAATTATTTTCCTGAAAGCCACCTTGAGGATCTTACAATCCTTTGTAAAACACTAAGTTATGATAAAGAGATTTTACCTGTTCTAACAGCAACAGTTTGTGAACATATTTATTTAGAGAAATGAACGTTAGCATTGAGGTTTATACACAGAAAGGTATGTACATGGGGAGAAGAGGAAAGGTTTTTCAAGCCTGATACAGTAGATGAAACAGCAGAACACCTAACTAGGAATGGAGAGAGATGAGAGATACCTGGGCAATGCAGGAATCTAGTATGGGAGACAACAGGAGAGATGCTTGTGGGGAAAAGCTTCCTATCTGGGAACAGAACGGGCTTCCTGTTCCTGAGAGGAAAAATAAAAAATAACATGACTTACTCAAAAGGCTGCCAATGATGTTGGAGAGGAAATTCAGTTAGCCGTTTGGAGGACAGCAGCTTTGGTCAAGTGAAGACAACAGAAACCAGACTACCAGGAATTAAAATGAACCAGAGAGCAGAGTGCTCACCCATCAGTTGTACAGGCAAAGAAGAGACAGAAGACCGGGCCTTGGCCAAATGAAGTGTCAACGGGGACTGAAGGGCTGTGAGAAGAAACAGCAAGTCTGGCAAGAGATGCACATCATAAGCCTGCATAACTGAGAATAACAAAGAAGCAGCACGATAAGGATCAGGCCAGAGGTAAGGAGGGAAATTAAAAAGGGAAATGAAATTTGTCATAGTAAGGGGTACAGTAAAAGTATCAGTGCTTACAGCATGGTTTTGTATAATCCATGTCAATAAGCTGCAACAGCACTGATGGCCTCCGCACGAAGGCACTGGCACTTTTATCTAGTGGTTCTTCCGACTTCCCTCTACTCTCAGCATTGTGCAACCATATACACATTTATATCTTTCCCAGCCCTGCCCTTCTCATATCCTCTTTTCACTAAGATCTCCTTGCTTTTCTTCTAACAGAACTGCCTGTTCAACTTCCAGTACTGGAAGTCCTCTAGCAGTGAAGAATGTGCTGGTTTATCACAACAAGGTCTTACCAAGTGTAAATACTGTACATAAAGGGGCCAAAGGATCTTAAAGAATAGCTAAAAACCATTTCCACTTTTGGTTAAGCTACAGAGTTCACCCAAGTATTCGAACTACAAGTTCACCCAAGTACCCAAGTATAGAGTTTTTTGTATGGAGACAAAAACTGTTCCTCTAAATTGCCTGTGAAAAAAAGTCCTAGGTACCAGCAGCTGAATTTTCACAGGACCTAGTAGCCAGCTCTGGCAGGACAACAGTGAAGCATGCACACAAACCTCAGTGCCAGCCGAGGGCTAGTGGAGCCCATGTCGGCATAGCCTCTGTCTGTACTATGCAAAATGCAATTACTATTCGAGAGGTGGCTGTGTGAAAATAGTGCTCCATTTCATATGAAAATCTGTGCACTTTGGGTCTCCAATTTTTTGTTTCCTGAGAAAAGCTATTTTACAGTGCCAGCCACCCCACTGCAGAGTCATTACAGCAAGAGAACTGGAGACTTTGACATGTTTTTTCATTAATAATGGTAATCTATACTCAGTCAGGCCAGTCTAAACTAAATTTTTTGCTATTACTTGGAGAGACAGAAAAGAGACTGATTTTCCACATCTTATGTCACGTGTGCCACAGCAGTAAGTCTTTGACTGTAACAAACAAGTAAGAACATATTTCCACATAGCAGCTCCCACTTTTAAAAGAACTTAAACTATTTTACATAGTTCAAGAACAATAAAAAATGTGTAGAGATTAAAAGCACATGGACACATACTCATAAAAGTCTGCATGTTTTGCTAAGAACTGATGCAACATTTGCATCACAGAGATACTACAAAAATAGCCTTTTATTTTTATGGCACAAACGGTGCATTGGTAGAGCTCGTACATTGTCTCTGTACTGACCTTCAATGATATTCTGTATCTGTGAGTTAAAACACATCCATCATAACCCAGTTTACAATCTCTGTGTAACTATCATCACCAATGCTACATATGTCAATAAATGCCCCAGGAGCCATCCATTAACATCAGACTAGTGTAAATCAATTACAACTCGTGATTTTGCATTGCTCCAGGGTCACCGTGGAGGTATAAAAGAACACAGAAGAAATTATTTCTGCCTCCGCCTGGTAAACTGACAAGTTTTTGTTTAAAAGGCACAGGCTTTTACAGAAATACGCATATCCCTCACAGGTTTTGCTGCCTCGTTTCCCAAATAACTTACTTCAAACAAATGGAGCTCTACATTTGATGTTTGGATTAATTAACAAATCCCTGTCAAAAAGATTTTATGTGGCTTCCTGATAACTCCTTTCAAGAAAACATTTAATAAATAAGAACCACTACTAAAAAGCAAAGACATTTTCTTCTATCAGAGAGATCCTGGGTTTGTTGTTTTTCTTTTTTTATTTTAGAGATGGAGGAGGGGAACAATTTACTGTTGTATCTAAAGAACAGAACTGTTTTTCTACTATAATTTACTATTTTCACATAGTAAGTGAGTTCTACAAAGTTGCCATTGATGGAATTGCAGATTCTCAGCTCTCCTAATTCCACCTCCCAAGCTTTGTGCTGGTCCTTGGCAGCAAACCTCATTAGCTACCACCACCCCTGAGTTGTGCCTGCCCATCCATCCATCCATCCAAATGGGGTCCTGTGCCAGGCCTGCCCACCTACCAAGGTGAGGCAGAAGATTAACTGCTGGTGCCACCAGCACACTGGCCTGGAGGAAGACCACCCCTCGCACCATGCCATGCCATGCCATGGCCTCCCCACCGCCATGGGGCACCAACTCTGCCCGGGCAAAACGCTCCTGCCTCCCTCTATTTTCTTTCATGTTAAGCGAGCGAAGCACTGAGGCCTAAACGACTCCTGGATGGATATGGACCTTCAGTCAGGTTTACGGCAAGTAAATAGCGCTTTTTTTCCCCGCTGTTTTATCCACCGCCCATGGGACAGGCGAGGCGGGCCAGGGCCTCATGGCTGGTGGGGCGGACGGAGGGCAGATGGAGGCAGATGCTTCCCTCCCACCTTCTCCGCCCTTCGGGACCTCGTCACCCTTCCCCAACGGCCCTCAGGGTAAGGCCACCACTGTCCGGCATGTGAGACGGTATTTATTCTTGGCGGCGTTGCCGCATTTTGAAAGAAGGCGCCGTTTCCCTCACGGAGAGCCTCCGGGGCCCCCACTCCTCGCCCTCTGCCTAAGGCCGCCAACACCCCCCCCGCAGGCGGGCGGGGCCCCGGCTGAAGAAACACCAAAAAGCCCCCAAATTCTTTCAGTTGCGGGAGCGCCAGAAGTTCACCGAGAGGCGGGAGCCGGCGAGGCGCTGCCCCTTCCCCCGGTAGTACAGAAACTTTACTAAAAGCAGAAACTTCTGACTCCCAGCCCTCGCCAGGCGCCGACACCCCTTTCCCGC